GCTGGCTCTGAAGCTGGAGGAAGGAGGCCTCCAAGAGGCAGCCTCTAAAAATTGGAAGAGGCAAGAAAATGGACTTTCCAGTAGATTCTTCAGAGGAATGCCGACCAGTGAGACTTCTGCCTGAACCTTAATCTCCAGAACTGCAACCTGATAATTTGTGTTGTTGTTTTTTCTCATTGATGTTGCTTTAAGCCACTCAATTTGTGGTAATTTGTTACAGCAGCCACAGAAAACTCATAGTTGTTGACACAAGTGCCTCTGATGGCACAGACTGCAATGTTTTTGTGTTATTTTTGTTTAGAGAGACCAGGGAGAAAGTAATGAAATATTTACACAGCGTTAAAAAAAAAAAAAAAAAAGCACTGATTCTCTCCACCATCGTCTCTCACCTGGCCCACCCGCAGCGGCCACCCTCCCGGCTCATCTCCTTTGCTCCGTCCTTGCCTCTCCAACCCAGGCTCCTCACCCCTGCCCTAGTGTACTTTTCAGAGCCTTTGTCAGGCCCACCCATTTCCCCATTGCTCAAAGGATCAGATGTTAACGCCTCACCATCCAAAGGGGAATGTGGATCCGAGCTCCGCCCACTGCTCTAGTCTTCCTGGGGCCCCTCAAACTGGCCTCGGCACAGATGGTTTCCCTCATGGTTCCCTCTGCCTGGAACAACCTCCACCCACCTCAAACCACTCCTCTTCACCCCCTCACCCAGAGCCCTCGGATCTCGAAAGCCCTTCCTCATCCCCTCTCTCCACACCATAAGGTCCTCTTTTTGCACCACGTAATTTTTTCCAGTAACATTTATGATCGTTTATCATTTTATATTTGAACTGTGCAAAGGTACGGGCTTGGGTCAGTCTTAGGCATCGCTGTATTCTCAGCCATAGCCCGATGAGGATGATGTGAGCATATACAATACAAATGTGTGTAATACGTACTCTATATATTAATAACAGCTTGGATCTGGCATTTAGTAGAAGCCCAGTTGTTGTTTGTTGAAGGAATGGATGAGAGCGAGAGAAGACAAGAGAGTTATGGAAAAGAAGAGATGGCAACAAGAAAAAGAAGTTACGAGGCCGAGATACTGTCCAGAGACAGAGATGGATTCTGAAGAGAGACAGCTGGGGGCCATGAGACCGAGAGTATTAGAGACGACTAAAGATAAGACTCAAAAACCTAATCCCCAGAGACTAACCCCTGTCACTCGCTTCTCCCACCGCCCACCCTCCCTTCCAAGCTACGTAGACCAACACAGAGGCCAAGACTCTTTGTGATGCCCAGCCCATCCTGTTTCCCTCCGCCCCCACCACCCTGGTAGGAACCTTCTGTACGGCTGGGCCCCATGCTGGAGCATGCGCACATCCCCTTTACCGTGTTCGGTTCTTTCCTCTAGGCCATTCATAGTCTCCATTACGCCTTGGGCACGCACTCCAGCCCCCTTACGGCGCCCGAAGCTCTCCCGCGCAAGCTCCCCTCCCACCACGCCCCCTCTGGGCCGCGCCTGTGCTCACCGGTCACGACGTGCGTGGCTCCCACCAGGCGCGCCCCTTCCTCCAGCGCGCGGCGCCGCAGCACCCCGCAGAAGGTGCAACAGGAGCGGCTGCGGCCGGAGCCGGCCGTGCTGCGGGCCACGGCGTCCATCGTCCAGCCCCCGAAGAGGTCCGCGTAGGCCACGACGGTGAGCGGGAGCTCCCAGCGCGCCGCCTGCCGCCGCACGGCCGCCAGCGCCGCGTCCCGGTAGCCGCCGATGCCCTCGTCCACCGCCACGAGGTGCAGCGAGATGTCCAGGCGCGGGGCCAGCTCGCGCAGCACGTGCGCCAGCACCGTGGAGTCCTTGCCGCCCGAGGCGCCCACGGCCACCACGGCGCCGGGCGGCAGCAGGCGGCCCGCGACCACCGTGTGCAGCACCTCGGCCTCGAAGGCGGCGCAGAAGCAGGCGCCGCACAGAGCCTGGCCCGAGCGCGGACGGCGGAGGGCGGCGCGCGCCTTGTTGCAAGAGGCGCACTGCGGGGCGGGCATCGTGGGGTCCTGGAGAGGCGGGAGGGGTCGGTTCTCCTGGATGGGTGGAGAGGGGAGGCAGGTTACACGTGGATTCCGGGTTGCGGGTCGTTGCTTACAGAGGGTAGTGTCCCTGCCGAGAATAGTGGGGACCAGGTAGGCTTCTTCCGGAGTAGTTGCAGTAATGAGTAGTTTAGTCGCTAAGTCATGTCCGACTCTTGCGACCCCTTGGACAGTAGCCTGCCAGGCTCCTCTGTCCATGGGATTCTCCGGGCAAGAATATTGGAGTGGGCTGCCATTTCCTTCTCCATCTTCCAGAGTAAGGGAGGGTTATATGTATACAGTTGACCCTTGAACAACGCGAGGATTGGGAGTACAACCAAATTCCACATTAACTTTGCGGTCGGCCTTCCATATCTTCCCTGTTCCAAGTCCAAGGATTCAACCAAACTGCGGATGGTGTAGTATTGTATGTATTTATTGGGGAAAAAAAAAATCTGAGTCTCAGTGGAGCAGTTCAAACTCATGTTGTTCAAGGGTCAACTGTTTGACACTTGAAGGTCTGAGGAGGTTTGAGGAGGCTAGTGCCTCCAGGAAGGCTTCTTGGATTACACCCATTACACACCAAGGAGACAGAAGTAGCTGGTTGGAGGTGAGGGGTGGAGGGGAGAGGTAGAGATAGGTAAGTTAGGTCGGATTCTGTTTGGAGGAATGGAGGTGCATATTAAGGACACATTTCACAGTCTCCAGGGAAGCCACACCTCTTACAACCCTAATCAGAAGGACAGGTCGCTGACCTGGGCTTCCAGGGCTGCTAAGAGAGCTTGGGAAGGGTCAATGATCTAAGAATAGAAGGAGGCAAGGGGACTGCTGGCAGTTCTGTTAGGGGAAGGGGGATAAACAGGAAAGACCAACTGGACTTTCACTTTGGTGGGGTGGGATGCTCTCTCTAGGAATGGGTTCCGATTGTATCCTCTGAAAGGCAGGGCAGTCATCTCCGAATCTCCCGCAAGCTTCTGTGGCCTTATCAAGAGGTGGATCAGCCTATCTTTGACTCCTTCTGTTCCCCCCACCTCACTCCTCCATACCCAGCCAAGATTCCCTTGGACCCACCTGCGGGGGGGAACCCACCAGACTGAGTCCCTCCCCTCCAAGGCACCATCATCTCTGGGCTGGACTATCATAGTGCAGTAGCTTCTAAGCAGTTCACCCTGTTTCCAGGATTTCCCATAAAGTGTGGAATCATTTTATGTGACTCACGTGCTTACTGCCTGTAACACCAGTTAGGGGCCAGTGCAACTCAGCTGTCTGACAGGCACCGCAGAACCCAGATTCCCGATTCCCCTTCCCAGACTGCTTCTCTTTTAAAGGGCAGCTCGCTCCCTCCAGCTACTCATGGCAGGAGCTTTGTGTCCCAGGACACTGGACTGCTTTCTCCATCCCTCTTAACTCTCCCTGTAGGTGATTCCAAATTGCAATGTTAGGTCCCAGCCTTTCCTCCAAATGCCCCACTGAGAATGCACTGGGGCATGTCCTCAAACCTCAAACCCCATACATCCAACCAGAATGGAGAAATTCCTGTTTGTAGCTTTAAAACAGACCCAGAAGCCCAGCACGCCTTAGCATCTACACAGCTGCAACTCTGGTCTGAGCCATGTCTCTCTCCTGGTTACCGGAGGAGGCTCCTCCTCCATCTCCCTGCCCTCCCCTTCTCTCCTCTGCACATGCAATTGTCCACAAAACAGCCAGTGAGATCCTGCCCAGGGTCTTCTCTACATCCTCCCATGCATCTCACCTCACCCCTGCCTCTGGCTTGATTCTCTCTCTCTCTCCTGGCTTGCCTCCTGCTCAGCCTCTTTTGGAGAGGCACTTTCATGGTTCCTGCCCAGCTCATTTTCCTTGTGGCTGACTGAATCACAATGTTCATCAGGCTTGTCCTTCAAATGTCCCATTGAAGATACCCACTGGTTCTCTAGAATTCTAGGTACCCAAACTGACCAGTCCCCTGCTCCCCACGGAGAAACCTGTTCTTGCTCAGCTGTTCCCTGCTTGCTGAGAGTACCACCTCTCCACCCAGCTCCTCCGTAGGGCACGGCATAAAGTCACTCTGGACTCATCTCTCTTCTCCCCCTAAATCTACGGTCACTAGGTCCCAGGAACCTGCCTCCTGAATGAGGAAGACTCTGCCAGGAAATAAGTGCAGATTTTCAGAGGCTCATAGGCCATGATACAGCTTTAATTTTAATTAAGAGAGAGATTGGAACCATGGGAGGGTTCTGTGCAAAGGAAGCATATGATCTGATTTAGGTTTTAAGTTTCCCTTTGGCTGCTGTGTGGGGAACAGACTCTGGCAGGCAGCGGGGCTAGAGAGGAGGCCAGGGCAGTAGTCAGTGAGATGAAGTTGGCCTGGACTGGGGGGTTGGCAGTGGCCATGACAAGAAAAGGTGGGGTTTTGCATCTATTTTGAAGGTAGGGTCCGTAGGACTTGCAGAAGACTTGGATTGGGGTGGAGGGTGGGGTCATGAGAAAAGAGAGGAATGAAGAATGATTTGAAGGCTTGGGCCTGAGTACCGGGGAGGATGATGGGAACATTCAGTTGTGGAGGAGGCTGGCTAGAATTCCATTTGGACACGTCAGATTTGAAACGTGTGTTAAGCATCTTCCCCTCGAAGATTTTATAGACCCCAGGCTGGCTCACGCACCCCCTCTGGGGTCGCAGAGCCCCTTGTATGCCTCCATCCCAACCGGATCAGGACGCTACCCTTCATGGTGACAGGCCTGTCTCCCTTCCCGTGTCCTGTGAGCTCACTACAGGTGGGGAAGGACAGGGTCTGCCTCAGCCACCACTGACTCCCCCTGCCTTGCAAGGGATTTGGCAAAGGATCGGGGCTCAGTAAAGATCTGTAGGCTGAGGGAATAAGTGCTCCCAGAAGGCGGGGCCCAGATCCCAAGTGTGCCTCCGTATCGCAGCTTTGTCAGAATGATGGGTAGTGTGTAACATCATTCTATCAAGACAGAGGTTTCAGGACAGCGTAGGGACCTCCTGGAAGTATCCAGTTGGAGGTGAGGGCAGGGAAATAGTCGAATTTCCCCGAGCCCACCCAGGGGAGGGGGGTGGGAGGGCCAGAGACAGGCTGGACCGCGGAGCCCACAGTGAGGATTCCGGTCAGTAGGCCTCTGGGATACAAGCATTGGGAAGTCAGAGGCGAATGTTATCACTAACGGAGAGTTCCTCAACCCTCACACGGCACCGCGACAAAGAGCGGGCGCTCAGGGGCCGACCAGCTCCGGGAGAAAATAACTCACCTGAGTAGAACGCGGTGCTGGACCGTCCAAACTGCCTAACACGCGGAACTCCTGTACGGAAGTGGCTACGAGACTACGATTCCCACAAGGCTTTGGAAGCTGTCTTGCCTACGGCTCCCAGAGCCCCACGCGACGGCTCCACCTGAAGCAGAGGTGGTTACTGAGGCCCTCGGCCTACAACTCCCAGCAGTCCCTGCGGCCCCTTATTCAATCGGCCTACTACTCCCAAAATCCACTGCACTGTGTCCTTCTGCGCCTGCGCATGGGCAAGGGACGCGGCGCGTGTACTGTTAACTAAGGTTAACAGTAAGCTGTCTCCGTGCCGGACGCTTAAGAGACGAAGTGGCTGCATTCTGGTTATCTGCTTTTGTGGGGTCACGATAGGATTTTAGAAGGACCCGGTTTCAATCTCTGGGTGGGGAAGATTCCCTGGAGAAGGAAATGGCAACCCACTCCAGTATTCTTGCCTGAAAAATTCCATGGACGGAGGAGCCTGGTAGGCTACAGTCCATGGGGTCGCCAAGAGTCGGATACGACTGAGCGACTTCACTTTCACTTTCTTTCATAGAGCACATTATTTTTGCCCTTTGATTTTGGGTCGCAGCCGTGTGAATCTCGTCCTCCACCTTTTATTGGTAAAAGCAGTAATGAGCTCAACCCAGATTCAAGAGGAAGACGTAATAAATTTCATTGTGTAATAAATGAAATTTATTACTATTTTGCCTTAAGGAAGTGGTGGGATTGTTTGGAGCTCTTTGGAGACTAGTGCCTACAGCTACTCATCTGTCAGCTGCTCCCTCTATTTGTTGAGGGGGATTACCCCTTTCTGTCAGGCATGTTCAGAAAACGAAATGGGATCATATATGTTAAGGGGTAGAACAAAGCTTTCACCTTACCCAGTGCTTGGACCAGTGTGTCGACAGCCTAGCATTGTCCACAGAATGCTCCTGAGGGTGGCCAGAAGGTCAAGGAAGACGAATAGAGATCTTCCTTTCCCTGGAGTCCCTCCTCCCAGGTAGACCTGGGCCCTTCCCGGCACGTCTGACATATTGTTGACCCTCCTGAATCCAGACCGAGGGTCCTTGTTCTTTGTGGTCAACCTCCCTTCCCCCCTCCCCAAGGCTGCAGACATTCTGAGTCAACAGTCAACTCCGAATCAGCACCACGGATAGCGGCATCGCCGTTTCCTAGGGACCCCCAGAAACCAGACAGAGAGCACCCAAGGGGTGCAGAGGTGGAGTTGGTCACAGACACAGCCCAGAACTTGGAGGATCCCCAGCACAGTGGGAGAGTGAGTGGGATTGGGAACATTGTACCTGAGAGTCCAGGGTCGTCTGCAGAACTCACACCACTTGTGAGAGCCTGAAAGTCTCCACTATGTCTGCTTGGCCTATTCCTCTCTGAGAACTCACCCTTTAGTCCAGAGAAGCAAGAGCCCCACCCATCACATGCCTTTGTTTCCCCACCACAGGCACTTTCCTCATTGGAATTGTCAGATGATTTGTCTCCCAACCAGATGTTGCTTTTCTCAAGGGCAAGGGTTGAATCTTTACTAAAAACCTAAAGGTACAGTGTAGACGGTTGATGAATGAATGAAATTTCTTCCCTCACCTCATGGTAAGAGTTGACAACTCTTCCCTCTCATATTAACATACACTTCCTATCACCCAGCCCAATGAACCCTAAGCCGTCAATTGATGAACTGACTTCCTGTGCAATTCACTTGCCTACTCTGGACCTCAGAGTCTTCTGCAAATTGAATAAGTGGGGTTAAAAGTCCTCCTAAACTCTGATGGCTTGTGGTTAAAAGTTCTTCTTTCACCCACCGTTAGATTCTCCATGACTTTCCTCTGTCTCTTCTCTGATTCTTCTGTTTTTGTTTGCAAATTAAGGACCATGGGAAACAGCCCTTCTGAGCACCGAGATACTATAAATGCCCCTGCTAGGAGAGAGTGAGTCGGTCAGGACAGAGGGGGCCCAAGAGGGGGATGGGGCTGCAAGATGAAATATCAGCTGAAAATGCAAGAGCTGATGATGGCGTGGGCGTGCCCATGTATGCTTATCCCCTGCACCTTCCCTTCTCAGCAGTCACAGCACCGACCCTACCCCAGGTTATGGATAACGGTTCCAGGAGAGGGTTGAGGGGTATAAGATGGGCAGATGCATGAAGCTGAATGGAAGAAAACAGATGGATTTTTTTTCTCTTTATACCAAGTCTTAAGAAAAACAATTGCAAAGCTGTAGTACCAAAGGCAGCATGCTCAGGTGATAAAATGTCAGAGAAAATCAAGGAACCAGTTGGCATTAAAGTGAGGCTAGGGACTTATTGGGGCTTTCCTAGTGGCTCAGAAATCAGGTAAATAATCTGCCTGCAATGCGGAAGATGTGGGTTTGATCCCTGGGTCAGGAAGAACCCCTGGAAAAGGGCGTGGCAACCCACTCCAGTATTCTCACCTGGAGAACCCCAGAGGAGCCTGGTAGGCTACAGTCCATGGAGTCACTAAGAGTTGGACACAGCTGAGCTAAGACTTTCTCTCTTTTATCACTAGGGGCTTATTGAGGGAAGGGGTGTGCAATGGGGAGGAGGAACCAGCAGATCCTGAGGGCCTGCAGCATTCTGTTTCTTGGGTGGCACCGTGGTCATGGGGGCGGAGAAGGGGGAGGGACTACTGGGCTCAACCACAAGAGGGTCTAGGATCACTGAGGTGGGAAAAGGATTAGACAGGGCCCTGGGCTGGAGGCAGCCCTTTCCTACAGCCTGGGAAGGGCTGCCTTCTTACCTGTGCTGTTTCCTTGGACGACGGTCACGGTCAAGTTCAAGTTCAGTGGAAAGTCTGTGACAGAGAGACATGGCGGATCCATGTCAGTAGTGAGGCCTCAGTGAACATGGGCCCTGTGTCCCCAGGAGCTGCAGAAATGGGGAAGGGATGGGGCAGGGATCCTCCTGACCCCCTCCCAGGCCAAATTCTGGGATCCGATGTTCGAGGCCCATAACCCCCGGTTATGGGTAATGGTTCCCGGGTACCCCCGCTGCCCTCCGGACCCCGTCAGGGACTCGGGCGTCCTGGCCCAGCTCTCACAGGACACGTTGAGGTGGACGAGCCTCGCTGTGCTCACTTCAGCTCCAGGCGAGGTCACCCAACAGGGGAGTTTGGTGCCGTGGGGTGAGCACCAACGAAAGGGGGGTCCTGGGGCCCAGGGAGGTGGCAGCAACTGATGCCCACCTCACAAGCCCAGGGCACGGAGCAGGTCAGGTTCCTGGGGCGGCCGAGCTCCAGGGTCCCAGAAACGAGGATGTGGGGTGTGTGGTTTAGGGCTGGTGAGGAGAGGGGGAGATGGATTAAAAGGGGGGTTCAAGGTGTAACCCCCAGACAGCCTCAGACTTTGGTCCATCACCTCCCTCGGGGCCCCGTTCTACTTTACCCCAACCCTCATTTCTGAAGGAGAGTCTCATTCATAAATTTTAATATTGATTCTGTCACCTACCAATTGGCACTTGCCATCTACCTCGACAAAGGTCAAATCCTGACCCACTGTGGCTGCTGACCTTCGTTACCCCCGGAAAAGAGTTCATGGTGGAGATCAGGAATGAGGTATCTGTGCTGTGGGAAAAACTGGCAGGACAGGTCTTCAGACAATTAGATATTTTCAGGAGATGATTTTATGAGCCCAATTCATGCATCTCCTTGTGTCTAGAAAAGCACTCAGTTCCTTCCTGGTGACATCTGCTCCTTGTGACTAGCAGTAACCTTCACAAGGAGAGCAGAAACCTTCTTCAAAAAAAATATGTGATTAATTAAAAACATAAATGAAGTGGCAAAAAAAAATGTGCTTGCTTGCATATTCCTAAGTCTCATATATACTGACCTTTTGCCCTATCTCTTTGGAGCAGTTTCTTAGGCCTAGAAAGGCTGTCTCCGGGGCTATAGTCCTCATTTTGCCCTGAATAAAGCTTAACTCACAACTCTCACATTGTGAATTTTTTTCAGTTGCCAATTCCATGTTTAAATATTGTTGATATGGTGGGTTAAATATAATACAATTAAAAGTAATTTCAGACTTCCCCGGTGGTCCAGTGGTTAAGAATCCTCCTGCCAATGCTGGGGATGTGGGTTTGATCCCTGGCCAGGAGAACTAAGATCCCACATGCCATGGGGCAACTAAACCCATGCACCACAACTCCTAAGTCTCTAGAGCCCTCAAGCCACAACTATGGAAGCCCCAGCGCCCTGGAACCCATTCTTTGCAACAAGAGAAGCTGTCACAATGAGAATCCTACCCACAGCAGAGAAGAGTAGCCGCCACTCACCTCAACTAGAAAAAGCCCGTGTGCTGCAAGGACGAACCAGTGCAGCCAAAAATACATAAATAAGTAAAATTTAAAAGTAATTTCACCAAGTTGTTGTTCTATGGTGGCTATTAAGACTTTTAACATTACATACATGGCTTGCATTCTATTTCTTTTGGATAGCATTACTCTAGAAGAAAATTTAGAAGAATATCTATGGATGCGCAAAGAATTCTTAAAGGACATCCAAAATACCAAGCATAAAAATACATAAATTAGACTTCATTAAACACTTCTGTTCATCAAAGACAGAATTAAGAATATAAAAGGGAAACTATAAAGTGGGAGAAAATCATATCTATCTATCTATATCTTCTATCTATCAAGAGATCCCTGAAAGACAGGTTGAACTTAAATATAAAGAATTCTTACTAGTTGATAAACCAATGTTTTCAAAAAAGAAATTGGGCCCCAAATGAAGTCATACATGCTAAGCCCCACATCAGCAAACAACACTTATTACCTAACCTAATTGCAGTTTCAGCCTCCCAAGGGTGTGACCTTTAACCAGTCAGTTAGGAAT